AGGGGGGGTGTTGAAATTTTAAAACGGTTGGCTCAATTTTGGGGGTCAAATAAAACAAACAAAACAAAAAATGGGACTTTAAATTTTGGGGGTTTTTAAAATAAATAAGCGGTCTTTATGCTGGGTTTATTTCCTTACAAAAAACAAAATTTTTTCTTATAAGAAATGGTCTTAAACGGGTTGGGCTTAATGGGCGGGTGGGCCTAAACTAGTGATTCTACTTTATAAAATTCATTTTGGTCTGATTTAAATATTAATTTAAGTATTGTGTGCATAATTCAACTATCATATAAGAAATGAATTCTTTACAAAATAAATGTGTCGAAAGCAAAATAAACCACAGTGACGCAAAACATGTACTTTCTCACCTTATTTCATCTAATAACCCAATAACACTTGTTAACACCGTCATGCCAAAGAGCATTCAAACAGAAAATAACAACAAATTTTGATTTATTACAGGTAAGTGTTGAGTTTAATCAGTGGTCTCAATAGTGGGTTTAAAAAAGATTAAAATAAGAAATTTAGGACTGAATCTGGTGGTTTTAAAAGAGGATAAGCAGGGTGGTCTTAATTCTGAATCATGTAACCATTGACATAAAACCACAAAATACGATTCTTTTATTAAATGGTCCAAATAGCGGGGTGGTTTTAATTTCGGGATGGTCTTAAGAACAGAGAGTCTACTGTATGAAGTAGAATTTGCTTCGGATAGCAGGGCAGTTTGAACAAGGACAATATCAATATAAATATTTTTAGAGAGTTGCCTGTTTTCATCAAACATTGTTCTATTTGATTCATCGTTATATAATGTAATGTATGGGCATGGTGAATGCTCTATTCAATCATGAACAACCGCGTAATGCTCAGCTTTGATATATCTAATTCATAAAGTTGTCTCCCTGTAAAAATATTATCACCATTTGTAGTTCAGTTTAAATTTAGTTTTAGAGTATTAGTTTCGAACTGGCCAGGGTCAAATTAACAAATAAAAATCACCTTTGAAATTATATCAGATAGTTGAGCTTCTAAACATCTAAATGTGCTATATTTCAAGTTTCAGTGCTTAGAATCGCGTTTCAAATAATTGGAAAAAATGCGGGAAAACTCATCATAATAATATTATTAGCAAATATATTGTTTTTCTAGGAAATTTCTATTTAATTAAGATCAAATTATCAGAATTGAAAAAAATGATAAAAGGAAGAAACATAACAGTAATGAAACACTATAAGTACATAAGGAGGCAAAATACCAGAGTATTCCCGACGGACACACCTATACCCGCGGACACCCGGCCAGACCCCCTAACCATCCCACCATATGCGGTTCTGCGGAATGGAGTCTGGTCCCCACAGGGGCCAGCCGGAATTGGCCAGATATAAGCTGTATAGTACGATTTTCGGCTCAACGTCGGCAAAATACCAGAGTATTCCCGACGGACACACCTATACCCGCGGACACCCGGACACACCTTGGACGACGTTCATTTTTTAGGAATATAACTGATTTTTTTCATCTGAAGTACACTTGATATCGGTTATTCTGGCTAGCCTGAAGAGCCAGATATCGATGTGATAAGGAATTTGAAACTACATCATGAAATAAATGAATGGTGTTTTGCACAGGTTTTACTGTATCATTTCTGGCTGATTAGATAGAACCGAATTCCGGCTAACCGGAGTAGCCGGAACAACCGGACTAAACGAAAATATGTTCCGGCTGCTCCGGCTGTTCCGGCTGTCTGGCTAACTTCACGCACATAGTATAAACATATTTGATACAACAAATCAATTGTATTTTTAGTATAAATTTGTAACAAAATATCAAAATTCAGTTGTTAGTACTAACAATATAGTGATCCTGACTTTAATCGATTCTCTGAAATATTTAGCTAGATAAGTAAGTAAAATTTTATTATCAGAAGAAATCAGTTCAATACATTTACACATTGATGGTCTTTTGTAATAATATCGTTTCACATATTTTTATCTTATGTCAACATAGCATAGGCATATCAAAACAAAATGGTATTCGTCTTCTAAATCCAAAGTATTACAACATAAACAATTTCTTTTTTCACTCCTTGGGATTCTATTTGGACCATATCTACCCGTTTGTACACTTCGTGTATATGCAGACATTTTAATTCTTGTGATGTAAAATCTAAGATCCTTAGGTAATATGTTAAGATAGTAGTTTTCGTATGAATATAATTCTGTACTTTTTTTATAAAGTTCTAAAACAGAATTATTTTCTACAGATTAATGCCTATTTGTATATAATTATCAATAACTCTTTGTTTAAATATTATTGGAAATAATTTACAATCTACAATATTATTTTCAAAAATGTTTTCTGATAAACCATATATATCAAAAGAAAATTTAACATTTGATAACCAGTTTTGTTTTTACCTTTATAACAATCAGATAAACTTAATTCAAATGTTTTCTGTACAACTTTATTGTCAGTATTTAGTAGTTCGCCATTTATACTAACATTGCTTGTATTGGCTCTAACATTTAAAGTTGTTTTTTACAATATTTCAAGTGAATACGCTCTATTTATTTTGATTTGCTATAACCCCATAATTCAGATGCATATGATATGATTGAGCATACAAAAGAATCAAATAATTGACATAATAATTTGGGTTTTACCGAGGTAGTTAATGTGGTCTACCACTTCGATTGTCTGACCGTTATAAGTCCATTTTTCGTTGACAAAATACGCTCTTTTTCTAAAGACAACAAGTTAATCCCCAATTGAAGCAATATTTGTACAAAAGATCTAAACTTATGTGTAAATCTTCAGGAGATTTACCTACAATGGTCATATCGTCAGCAAAAAGCAATAAAATCAAAACAAAACCATCAATCAATAATCCCGAGTTTAAATTATCTTGTAAATATATTTCAAGGGTTTCAACATTAATGGCGAAGTTATCTGCCCTTAATTTAGGCCAACAGCATACTGGAAAGAATCTGAATATATGTTACAACATCTTACACATGATTTTACTTTGTCGTACACATTTTAATGATTTGTGATATTTTTCCCTGTGCAAAACATTTATACAAATTCATCCATAATGAATTTCTACAAATACTATCGAAACAAGATTTCAAATCAATAAACCCTACATATACAGAATGTATTACAGAATGTAGAATAAAAATTGCATCAACAATTGATCTCCCCTTTCTAAAGCCAAATTGGCAATCAGAAATAACAGAATATTTCTCACAAATTATGGAAGTAAAATTCTTAGACATACAGCTGACTTAAGTTATTCCCCTATAATTATTAACTAATTTCGAATCGCCTGTTTTATATATCCTCCGTCCATTTGTCTGGATAAAAATCAGAATCTAAAATGGCATTTAAAGTATCACACAAATGATAACAAATAATATCAATAGACTCAGTAAAATATTCGTTTAAAAGAAAGTCTGAGTTTAAGGCATCTACATATATATTCTTTGAGTTCTGCATTCGGCGTCAAACCAATCATCATGCTTTTACTGACTGTCTGAAAATTTAACATGCGTTTTATTTGTATATGTTCCTGAAAAAAGAAGGTCTACAACTTCCCTAATTAAACAAGTAAAATTATTTATTGTGTTGTTTCCGGCCTGTCGATCACTAGTATTTATTTCTAGTATTTGTTTCAGTAGTCAGTGGATTAAGATCAGGTAATATGCGGATCTAACCCGCCCTTAAGGTTTCGAGGTCGTGTTAAAAATAAGTATAAAGTTATGATACAATATTATATCAAACATGAAGACTGTCTAGTAAAGATCTCGCGTATTAGTAAATGTGTACAATATCAAATGTTTAATGAGAAGCTTACGTAAATAAAAAATTGAATATAATATCCACGTATCCGGATATCTATCAGTCTTAAACTTCTAAATATGTTCTATTTTTGTATAACACGATAACATAGATATAAGGCAGACGACAGCTTTTATACAGACGATACTTTTGCGATAGTATACATCAGTTTTATTAATTTTTAATGTTTAAATTCTTTATATAAATATCATTGAGATATTAAAAATTTAAGGAGCCCTGTTTGTTTGTTTGTTTGTTTTGTTTTTTTTTCTTTTTCAAGAATTACAGTAATTTTTTTTCTCCCGTTTAGAATTATACAATGCCTAGATCTTGCTAGATTCTCGCTGAGGGCAGCACTTGCAGAATTTTATGTACGTTTGCTATGAAATGTACATGTTCTATATTTTAAGTGATAAATTATACATGTATAATAATATCTTAAGATTTTTCGTACTGATGAGATTGCATAAAACTCATCAATACATTAGTTATACTTAATATATTTTAAGTTTATAGTCTATGTCGATAATGATTCCATATATATTTACTTAAAGGCACATTGTGCATGAGAAAAAAGTCCTTAGAGGAATAAAATTAAAAACATTTATGAAGCATAATGGGCCGTAAAACATAGACGATGAAATTTAATTTTTTTAATTGAATGTTTAGATATTTTGGAATTAAAGAAACAGTATATCGAAAGATTTTTGGAGGCTCCCGGGCTATTATATATATTTTTTGGCAATTATTAAATAGCGGAAACAAAAATGAAATTCGAAATCTTGCAATTTACGTATATGAAGCGTTCGAAAAAAAAGAAAAACAAACACATCAAACTTAATATTTTGCAGTATGGTGTTAACTGTATCAATTTCCTTTTGTATATCTAAAAGTATCAGAAATTAACAGAAAATGATGAAAATACTTGAAAATACCTAAAATCGCGTTTCTCCGTGTTTTAACATGGCCCGTCATATAAATTCGAAGAAAAATTGTTGTTTTGTAGATTTTTTTGATTTTTTATCATTAAACTAATATTAAACATGGTATGGACACCTTAATATTCAAACGCATGTCCGCGTGGAAGTAACCAAATTTCCACGCTCTTTTCAACAAAAATAGAAGTTAACAAATATCAATATGTTAAAATGGCATTGCTTAAGTAATACAATATGTAATACCATGGTCAAAATATAATAAAATGCATTAATATCTTATGCAAATTTATATTTTTATTATTGCAGTATATATATATTAATTTTGTCAATAATACAGAAGTCCTAACTAAGACGGCTTCAATAATCCCCATAATCACTGTCTCCGCCGTCTCCACCGTAATTTCCGTAGTTTCCGTAATTTCCGTAGTCTCCGTAATCTACGCCATCTTCACTGTCTGCGTTACCTCTTTCGGCTTCTATTTCTGCTGAACTACAATCTCGACAGTTAGGATAATCCTTAAGCAGTTCATCATACATATCATAGTAGTCGAGGTCCACTTGAGATGGTTTCTTTGTTGTTGTTGCTTCTGTTGCAGAATCTTCAAAGAAGCCATTACCAGTATTTTCATTATCATAACTTTTGTTATTGTAGGCATCTTCCTTACAACACTGAAACAACATGTATAAACATTTTAATGGTGTCACAAAAGAAAAATAAAAAAAGAAAACACAAAACGTTCCCAATCTTCTAATTTTCCGAGATTAAATAACCTCTTGTAGTTAAATGAGTGAAATGTGCTTTTTTTATTACGGCATAGATAAGGGGCGTCCGTGGCCGAGTGGTTAAGGTCGTTGACTTCAAACCACTTGCCCCTCACCGCTGTGGGTTCGACTCCCGACAGGGACTTTGGATTCTTTCATGTGAGGAAGCTATCCAGCTAGCTTACGGAACGTCGGTGGTTCTACTCAGGTGCCCGTTCGTGCCTGAAATAATGCACGGAAGGGCACCTGAGGTCTTCCTCCACCAGAAAAGCTGGAACGTCGCGATATGACCTATATACTGTGTCGATGTGACGTAAAACCCAAAACAAACAAACAAAAAAAAGATACTGCAATGTGCATAATCACCAACTTTAGTGTATCATCGACAATTATTTGGTAACTATTAACTTTTGACTATATATTTATATTATATTTTAATATCGTATGCGTTTGCCAAAATTAAATCACAAAGTTCGAGCTCTTGAAAAAATATCACAAAGTTTTCCAAGATACCAAAGGGTAGGATCTATAACTTAAAATAAATGGCGATTATTTGCACATGAAATGATTTTTGAAATGATTTTCAACAGTTAAATTTCTTTTGTAAAAAAGAATCGTACACATACGGCGCGCTGCAGTTTTCTCAGTGTTTGAGAGTCGGTCAAACAAGGGAAATAATAAAGCAAAAAAAAGACTTTCATGATTATCTCCCCTACCGCTTCAATTAAATGAATAAGTACTAGACTAAGTGAACGTGATAATCTTTGATATATTTGAGAAATGTTCCTTGACAAATATTTTAACCAAGAAAATCAAAGTCCAAGGGGAGCATAACTGAATAAATTAAAAAGTTATCTACCCTTTAAAAATGCATTCCAATTTAAAAACTAAAAATGTATTTAAGTTTGAACAGTTCATCTTTGACAATTTTATCAAAAAGGAGCATTACTTTGCAAAAAGGAACATGTGGTGTAATATTTTGATTGTGAACATATATATATCAAGTTTGAAGTGAATTACTTTGATAGTTATTTGGAAAATGACTTCAAACAAAACGTTGACCATGGCTAAAAGTCTAAGCGGCAAAGGGTACATAACTATGCAACAATATAATGTTGGGATTTTTGAAATGGCGTCTTTTTATAACAAGAAACATGTGTACCATGTTTGAAGTGAAAAAGCTTATTTTCTAAAAAATCAGACATTAACGAAAAGGTAATCCGGCGTTGACGGGAGGTTCATGACGATAGCTGCACTTTGTTTCTTCGGAAAGTGGAGCTAAAACTGACAGATAGAGAGGTACTTAACAAAAAGTTAATGATGAGACGCCGGAAAAAGCTTTCAGCTTTCACACAATACTTACTGAATTAGTGATTTGCGGATATATAACAAAACTTATGTGCGAAAGGACAAACATCTACGGCATTTTCTTTCTACGTATTTTGTCCACTGATCTACATTTAAGTTACTATTTCTTGAAAAAAAATGTATGATTAGATCAATACATAACGGAAGTCTAGAGCATTTTACATTGACTTTGTGACCATGATAGAGCCTGGCATTGAGGACGTGCAGTCCGGCCAGGTTGTATTACCATTTAGTGTTGAGAATTGAGTATCGCTCAAGCCGGTGCTAGGGGGCGTGAGGCATGTTGCACTCATTCATTATCCCTCATGTACAGACTCAATCAAACGAGTCTGCTATTCATATTTAATTTTATTGTGATTAATGCTTCCGAGGGATCACTTTGTTTCCAGATTTTTCCACACCTTATGTTTAGTTATTTACATCCTTTAAGTTTCAATGACAAGTGCTTACTTTAAAGCAATAATTAAATTACAAAAATTCAGCAGGTTATGTAACATACCGGAAGAGGCGTTGTCGATGCCCCCGTTGTTGTTGTTGTTGTTGTTGTTGTAGGCGTTGTAGCCATTTCTTCTTCTGTTAAAAGATAAAACAACATATAACCTGATATATGAAATGTTAATATATCTGTGGGTATTGCATATCAAAACATTATATATAATTTGATAATTAGAATGTTAAAATATGTCAAATTATAACCTATTTGTCTTTTAAATAAGTGTAATTTGTTTTCCATTACGACCATCGCGACAAGCATATGAAACAATGCAAACTTATGATGGTAAAAAAGCAAGGGTATGATGATAAAACGTCGATAGTACGATGCTGAAAAGTCCAAATAACGAAACCACGATAGTGAAAACTAAAACTTTCGAGTTTTTACCATCGTGCCTTCGGCTTTTCACGGTCTTGGTTTTCATTATTTCGAGTTTGCATCATTATATTGTTGACTTCTTTTTCGTATTTCCGACTTTTGACCATCTTGGTTTCATTATTTCCACTTTCCATCGTCGTACTTTTCACTTTTCATCTTCGTACCTTTGACTTTTCATCTGACATTGTACTGTCGCGTTCATGTCTGGCATGCGCACTCACACACTTAAAATGCATGATGATATAAGAAAATAGTTTTACAAAGGGAACAATTTCACAGAAAAAATTATGTCAATGGCTTTAGATCATGATGTCAGCATATGAATGATGGTGAAAAGTTGAAATAACGAATGCAAGATGGTGAAATGTCCAAGATACAATTATGAAATGTCCAAAATTCGAGGGTGAATTTGGAAGTTACGAAACAACGATAGTGAAAAGTCAAAAGTACGATGTTGAAAACACGAAATTATATAGAGTTTTCACAAACGCGTTTTCGTTATTTTGATTTTTCATCAGCGCACTTTCACTTTCGTGGTTTCATTGATATGACTTTTTCACCATCGTAATTTCATGTGTTCTAAGTTTCGAGCTATTTTGTGTAAAATATTTATTAATTCTACTTTTAATACAAAAATCTAAGCTTCCTCGTTTAACTGTAATTTTACCGTAATTTTGCAAAACATGATTTGAACACACTTAGCAGTGATCTCATATACAATTCTACAAATGAAATGTCTTAGCGAAGGCGCTTTTTAAGATTGTTCCAACATTAGACTATGCAAAATAAAGTATGAAAGTTTATGATTACACAACACATATTTTTAAAAGCTCTAATTACGGCGCTTAGAACAAACAAATTTTTTAAAAGTTTTCCTTTATGACTCTTGACGCAGGACATTATCGAACGCTTCACACCAAATATCTGAGCTTCTGAAGAGCAAAGTTTTGAAAATCTAGGACAGTGATTAACTATACCATGTTAAACATTTAAAAAATCAAATGATTGAAGTTTAGAAAAAATTTGTTTAAAAGCAAATACTATTTATAACACTATGTAAAATCACATGACCCCTTGGGCGGGCCCTACTTTGACCCCGGGTCTTGATTTGAACAAACTAAATAGCATTCCATCATACAAGACATCACACCAAATATCTGAGCTCTAAAACTTGAAATTAAAGAGATGAAGCTTTTGTAAGAAATAAAGGTTGAACTTAAAAAAATCTATTTTAGCTTCTCTAAACCAAATACATTGTATGCTATAGTCAGACATTTTGCACAGAAAATCGAATTTGTATCAAATCTGTTACAGAAGAGATGTCACTGGAAACATACACTCAAAGATCCTTAAGCATCAAAGTGACATGTACTTAGGTACCATAAAAGAATTAACCCCAAAGAAATTTACCAGTGCAAATGCAGAATCGAGTTTGTTCTTCATACATCACTTCTTCTCGAGCGTCACCTGAAATAGCAGGATTACCAGCGGAATTAAGTCCTACCAGTTACTGTTGTAAATGCTAATATGTGTTGAGGAACTTAAGAGTGGCATCATTTTGAATAAATTCAATGACATTAAAAGTAAAACCTCACGTGGTAGAACTTCACGTATATATGCTTGTATATATATAATATAAAGAGCGTCTTAAAATAAATTTGTCGATACTTATAAATTAACATCCTGAATTTCAGGAAAAACACTCACTTTTACAAAGAACGTCATTGTGTATAGGTGGGGGATTGTTACACTCTCGTTGAATAAGTCTAATATTGGATTGACAGTCACACGTTCCAAGCTGCCAGTCGGACCACCCTTTTCAAAACAAAACAAACAATCAAAAAAATAGAAAGTATGGTGGCATACTTCTGTCACCAGATAACTATATAACTAATTAGTAAATTAAGAGGTTAACTAGTAACGAAACAAGTTAACCTCTTAATTAACTAGTTAGTTCAATGGTTATCATAACAGGAAATAAATGCATGTTAGTGCCTAAAACTGCCTTCCTTTTCTCATTTTACCACATTAAAGTTAAGTGGTTAACTTGTAACGTAACTAGTTAACCAAATAACTAATTAGTTATTTAAGTGATTAACTAGTTATGTAACTAGTTAATCACTTACCACTTATCCAAAATATCGCTAAATGGTTATCTAGTTACGTAGTAAATCACTTCAATAACTAGTTAATTATGTGTTTAACTAGTTACTTAACTATCTAACCACTTAATATTAAGCTGGTAAAATAATAAATGAATGACAGTTGTAGGCACTAACATGCATTTATTTCCCGTTAAGATCTTTCATTTATTGAACAAATTAACTAGTTACGTAACTAATTCACTAGTCAGTTATATGGTTATCTGGTGGCAGAAATATGCCACCATAAGAAAGATTCATTACGATCTTAATTTTGAATAAATTGTCTCTAAGAAACATTTTCTTTAGATCAGTTGAATAGTATTATGTTTTGGCATTTAGTTTTGATAATGTTTAAAATAATAATAGATATACGAGGGGAAGTCAGAAAATATCCGGACTTTTGACTCGTTCTCGAAAACCATTCAACATTTTTAAAAAAATCTTTCTACTCATTTTCAAAATATTCTCCACCTACGTCTACGCACTTTTTTTACCATCTTCGTGGGAGCTTTTGTATTCCCGCTGTGAACCATGACGTAGACGTATGTTTTAGGTACTGTGTAACAGCAGATATAAGGTATATATTTCTTTCCAGCAAGCAATTTTTTCAGTTCTGGAAACAAATAAAAGTCCTAGGGGGGCGAGGTCTAGGCTATAAGGAGGGTGAGACAACAATTGCCATTTGTAAGAGTTGATAACCTCCACTGTAGCTGCGGCGGTATGGGAGGAGGGTTATCGTGAAGAAGGAAGACATTTTTCTGTGCTAACCTGGGAAGCATTTGCTTCAGATTTTCAAAATTACTTCAGAATAGTCCTTGGCGGTGACAGTTTGACCTTTTGTTATGAAATGAGTAAGTATCATTCCTCGTGAATCCCAAAAGGCAACAAGCATGACTTTGCTAGCCGAATGAGACAGCTTAAACTTTTTAGGAGGTGGGGAACCAGCTCGTTTCCACTGCTTTGACTGAGCTTTTGTCTCAGGTTAGGAATAATGAACCCATATCTTATCTCCAATGATAATGCGGTTCAAAAACTTATCTCCTTCAAGATTAAAAAGACTTAAATGTTTTTTTGCATTGGTTACTCTGGTTGCCTTTTGATCAGCGGACAGCTGTCTAGGCACCCACATGGCACTTACCTTGCTCATGCCTAGGTGTTCGTGTAAAATCTTGTGTGCCGATACCTTACCAATGCTAAACTTGTTCGTTACCTCCTCCAAAGTTACTCGACGATTTTTGTTGACAAAAGCTTTAACATTTGCTACCATTGTTTGGGCCACCGCCTCAGCTGGCCGCCCAGTCCTAGGCCTGTCACAAACACTTGTTCTGCCTTCACGAAACTGAGAAACCCAGGTGATACACATTTATCAAAAAATCTTTTTTTAAGCCTCTGAAAGATGTGGCAGGGCTTTTCACCTTCTGCAACCAGAAACTTTATTACAGAGCGTTGTTCCTCTAACAAAAGGTCCATGATAGACGAAACACCTATCATATATCAGAGGGCAAAATACTGTGTAATCACAACTATCATTGAAAATAAACTGACCACGTTATTGGCGAATGAATGTAGTTTTCCCCAATATTTAATGTGTGTATATAGCTGCACGTGGAAAGAGAGGAGCATGAAAAGTCCGGATATTTTCTGACCGTCCCTCGTATCTGTCTGAACCAGACACGAACATATACACACAAATCACTACTCAGAAACTTGAAGTCGGAGTTCTTGTAATATCTGTTTGTATAATATTATCCTTACGGGTATCATACAATTGTAAGTTGTATTATAGTTTATAGTTATAGTATATGAAACGTTTTAGTTACGAGGATATAACACTGTGGCTGGGGCGACATCAAGGTGTGTTTCTGCTAAGAAAACGTCAAGGCCGTCAGGCCGAGACAATTTTCTTGCAGAAACATCCAGAGATGTCGCCCCAGGAAGTGTTATACCACCGTAACTAACGAGTTTCATATACTATAACTTTTTTATCGCATTTTCATTTTTTGTAATAGAAATAAAAAAAATGCAAACTGATTGTTTGTGGAGAAAGTTATTCGAATTCAAAATTTAAGGGCTTTTTCAGTGGAAATAATTCATTCAGCGTTATTATTTATTCCAAAATATATATAAAAAAATAACATTTATCAAAATAATTTTACATTCGTACAATTAAACGATTGTAAATCTCTGTTGGCATACCAGTTATATATGTTTATATTTTGAAATGTAAAATTTTTTCAATTGTTTTTGTTCTAAAGATAAGTATAATTGTGAAGAAGGACATAGATGGGATTTACAATGAAATGAATTATTTACCTGGGCAATTTGTACCATCATTCCTGCATTTCTCTTTCTTAATAGCTCCAATACCGTTGTCCCGCTGACAGTCGAGCGTATCACCTTCCTCGCGGATGCAAAATCGCAACATAAATCTAAAATAATTAAAGTAAACAATATTCCAAAATAAATTATATGTATCTGAACACTTAATGATACTATTTTAAGAATTTTATTGCTCATTTTGCTTTAATAAAATTCTTACATATAGTTAAATATAATGAATTTAAACATAACAGTCAATGACTTTGACAGAGATTTTGCAGCGTTCCCTTAAATTTATTGGCATAAATCAATGTTATAACTTATTTGCGTAAATGTTTTTACTCTTATAAACCACAACTATCGAGGTTATGTACAAGGAAAGTCAAATATAACTTTGATAAGGGTGCTGCTGCTTCTTTTTTAACACAGACGCGAAAGTTACGATACGACTGGGAAAAAATGTGCTGAAAAAATTCAAAGTTGCTATCCTGTTATACTGACTTACATTTCTCCCAGTTCGCATTTTCTCCTTTGTTCTGATTTTCGAACATGACAGTTACAGGGCTTGGCGCTACATGTTGTTAACTTTTTCCACTTTGTCCATCGAGCTGAAAGTAACATGGTTTTTGCCTTAGTACAAAATCTAACGCATTGTTTTTAAAATGCCAAAAATAATGCAATGTTATGATTGTTGAATCACAAATAAAAAATTTTGTATTAATGAAAACAATGGCACCCCGATCAAATAATAGATAAATTAATAAATACTAGTAACTATCTAGAATGTTGTCGAATCAACTCGTACCGTTGACAGAACAGAACAGAATTTTATTTTGGATCTGTAAATATATACTCTTTATTTTCACATTTAAGTGATTTACATAATAATACAATTTTATAAAGTGAAAACTAACAAATAAACATATATACAATTTTGCATAACTATGAAAAATTGGTGTTAATAAGATGCATAGCATATTGGTTAAGTACAGATCAAATGCAACTTGAAATTATAAAGTGAAAATAGTATAAAAATCAAAATCTGAATTTTATACTTAAACTAAAAATAATTATCGAATAGATATAGATTATATGAGTGCATGAGTATTTACATTTTCAATATATATTTTTTTCTTGTGATATACTTCAGATGCTTGTACAGCTATCACTGATGCCAGTATCGTATTTCCTTTCTAAAAAACATAATTATGACAACGCATTTTTAACATAATAATGTTAAAGCAAAATCATCGTCTCTGCGAGATTTGTATAGACCCTTTATTTAAGACTGGATTCAAGTTGTCGCCATTGGATGACGTCATTAGGGGATACGGTGGACAATGCCGATACGATTAAGTACAATAATAGAGGGATATAAGTAACTCTTCCCTGACTGGTATCGCCTATGAAAGGGTCTATTCTCGCGATGGTTGGTGACACTGGGTAGATACAGACGATGGGGAAATATTCTGCGACTGTGGAATCGATTAATATTAATCGACGATTCGAGAATTACAAAAAAGTGTTCAATACTGACTACGCTAAATGCAACAATAACTGGTCTTCCGACATAAAACATGTTATGACCATACTTGGATTAGACTCAAATACGACAATAGAACAGTTATTAACTTATCACATGCTAATGACCAATTATTCCAATATTTGGTCAGAAGATGTCAAAACACTGCCAAAAATACAGTGCCGAATATTTGAAGAAAACTTTTAATGCGAAGACTATGTATTGTTGAACTTGAACAAGAACGAAAAATCGATACTGTGTCAATTTAGAACTGGTATTCTACCGTTAAGAATTGAAACAGGACGTTACATTGGAGAGCAGCCTGATCAGAGATTATGTAGACTTTGTACATCGAGTCATGTAGAAGACGAAAAACATTTCCCTTTTCAGTGTGAACAGTATATAGACTTGCGTGAAAATCCGTTCAGAACTCTTTTTGATTTCGTTAACGATCCTCTCATGGACACGAATCAGAGACTAACTCATATTGTTTCAAACAACCCTAGAAAACTTGCAAAATTTCTTATATCCGCTTACCTTAAAAGAAGAAATGTCTTGTTCTCATAGTAATCGATTAACCTTGATATCTACTTTTGACTTAAACCATTATATACATATAGTCTTGTATTTGTAATTAAAATGTACCCATTTTGCAATGAATGTGTGTATAATATAATTATGTAATATTGTAATTCGAAGTTTTCTTTGTTTCACTATATGTCTGTGTCCATTCTATTATTGAAACCTTACCTCTTTTTATATTTATATAAACCATATTTTTAATGCAAGTTCAGTAACGTGATATTGTTGTTATTCGAATATTAAATAGTGTGATCACTCTATCACCAGTTCAGTAACACATTTTAAGTAATATAAACTTTCAAAAGTAAACTATTTTCCAAATCCCAACCTAATGCTATGTACTTGAATAATGTATATATATGTGTGTGTGTGTGTGTGTGCGTGTGCGTGCGTGCGTTTGCGTGCGTGCGTGCGTGCGTTTGCGCGCGCGCGCGTGTGTGTGTGTGTGTGTGTGTGTGTGTGTGTGTGTGTGTGTGTGTGTTATGATAATTACAATATTTGTAATTTGTCTCTTAAATTATATATGTATAATAATAAGCACAATAATTGTAATATGTAGCTCAAATTCTAATATGTTAATATGTGACGTTTCATTTCTGCCATCACTCGGTTAAATTAAGGAACTTTAGCTTTTTTGTGTATGTGTTTACGATTTGGTTTAACGTAAGTCCAGTAATTCAATCTATTCTGCACAGTAACTGGTATTGCATTTGTATTTTAAATGTATATATTGTTATAATAAATGTGCTGCGTAATACTTGAATAATGTGAGTATATATGCAATTTTGTTTTTTTGAAGTTTAAACACTACTTTTTCCATTTCATATCTATGATCACAATGTTAAGGAACTTTTTTTTTCGCTTTTCAGTATGGTTAACGTAAATTTAATATTCATTTTTCCTTGTCTATTTAACTTAGATATGTATGTTGCCAATTAATTGAAGCATTAATTCGTGTTTATATTTTATCAAGATAGTCCGATGTTACTGCTATTTCACATTTCATCCATATGGCCACTCTATTTAGATACTTCATCATTCGTTACTTTTATTATGTTAAAACGATGTACCTTATACGCAAATTCATTGCGAATTTCTAGCTCATATTAGCAATGTATATTTGTACCTTTACATAGTAACTTATTAGTTGTTTAATAGATTCTATTGATATTAAATTTTGATAACGTAAGAAAATATATAACCAGTATTTTGTATATGTTCTTGTACTTCAGATCATCCTATGTATAAAAGAAGTAACTTTATTGAATTATGTAAATAATGACATCATTGATTTCCTGGTGACATATAGGCCCAAAGGGCCACGTGCCTTTTGTTTCATCTGTATATTATGTATCTATGTCATTTATGCACATGTCACGATAACTATAACTTATCTTATCTTATATATAGATATCTGCTTCATTATGAAAAAAGTTCTTGTCTAATCGTATCCAATATAAAGTGTCATACCTATTTTCAACAATTATAATACCATCCGATATAAACTCTTTATAGGCCTTTAAGCATAACAATGCTTAAATTTTCCGTAAAAAGTTTGCGTTACATATCCATTTTAATTTATATCACTAGTTTTGTTTACCAATTAATCAATTTGACCCGAGCTTTTGTCAACACGTCCTGGGTGAGTCAACTCGTCAACTTCTATTCAATAAAGTTGTTTAAAAATGACTTTCATGTAAGAAGATATTTGATATCAAATATGAAAACTGAAAAATTAAAGATTTCTTATTAAATTGAAAATTGGTCAAATAGAATAATGTGTGTAAATTGATATGATAAATTGAAAACCTTGTTTATATTTCCTATCAAATTTACATAGTTGCATTTTAACAGATCATAAAACACACGTGTATAGTTCTAGTATCTTTACAATGACTTTTAAGTTTGCTTTCAAATTAGGTACAAATTAACTTTCTTCTCAAATTGACCAACGATAGTTTTTTTTATCAAAATAAGCACAATGAAAATATTGTCCTGACAAATTCATAATACAATAGATATGTATTCTATGATTTTCAATTGTTTACTACTTCATTTTCAACGATTCAAAAGAATACACGAACAAATTAGCCCGCGTTTTATAATTGACGTTACGAAGACAATGAAATCACTCTCATTTAAACACTTAATGATTTAAGGTATCTAGAAACGTCTTAAAATTCCTTTTGTTCTACTTGTAATGTTGGCATGCACCACTAAACATGTATAATATTGTAAGACAATGAATATGAGTTTTATCTATATCAAAAGAGTCTGATTTAATAACTTAAGACAGATACCACCATTCTAAAAGAAGTATTTTTCATCTCTACTAGTATTCTCCATTTAATATAGTGTCTATACATTTATTTAATTTGATTTGTGTAATGTTCATTATGTATAGTGTAATCATTGAATTGTGAAATATGTGATTAATGTATTGTCTGTTTAAGAAACAATACCGGTCTTAGCGTTGTTAATCGGCTATCTTACACTGATCTGGAATTTTGATGTGTAAGAATATTTTCCCTGAACAGCTCAGTAGGTAAAATGCAAGACTGATAATCTCGAGGTCGTGGGTTCGATACCTACTTATGCCACTATTTTTTTTTATTTTATTTTTTTTATTTGATTTTTATATAACTTTTCATGTTCATTAATTTTCTTTCAACAAAGTTCTTTTCATGTTCATTTTCTAAGTTGTTTAGTATTCTAGATTGTTCATTGATAGTTTTTATATGATGACTTTTGTACTTCGAGGTGTGTGTGCTAATTTGTGCTATTGTGTGATGTTGATATACTGATTGTGTGCAATGAAGGGACACAATAAAACTAAATTGAAGGGACACAAAACAAAAACGATGCAGAACAATATAGTTAAATGAACAATATTCGTCTATATGGCCTCAGAGACGACGATCCCAAACAGACATCGAGCATGACAGCTGAACTGGTAGTAACTGAATTGAATAACTAACCTCACAATGAATGATATCAGTATCGCTAACAGACTGGGTCGATATCTACCGGGTAGAACCAGACCAACGATAGTGCAGTTTGTTCGCAGGGAAGTAAAGGGAATAGTTTTACACTCTATTAGACTCAAGGATAGAGATAAAGAAGTAGACGATGTTTGGTATTCAAACGGAAAATTCTTCGTCAGTAAAATGGCTGCAGGAAAAAACGGCAAACTTGAGAACCGATCTTTCCAAATCAAACAACGTGACTTTGCGTATTGGTTAAGAAAGACTGGTCGGAGAAAGTAAGATAAACACAGGAGAACACGAAAGTAGGTACACAGACAGAGTGACAGTGTTCATGACTTTAAACAATGAAAATGTATAATTTGAAGATAATGAATTTCAGCTGTAAATGATTATCGATCTTTTTAAAGAGGATGAACTATGTTTATTTATTTGGTGGGTATTTTATGTTAAAAATAAGTATAAAGTTATGATAAAATATTATAACAAACATGAAGACTGTCTAGTAAAGATCTCGCAT